AGCCAGTCAGCAAGCAAGCATCCCATACTCCACCCTGCCCCCTCCTGCCTTCCACTCCTTTCAACCAGACAGATGGGCAGTGCCTGCTCACGAGAGGCGTCCACGTTGACAACACCTAACACTGCGCCCTACGCAAGCGCCAGCAGTAGCCAGGTGTGTGTCTGTTTAAAGCCTCAGCAGTGCCATCTGTTTTTGTTGACCGTCCAGTATCCAGTGCTCGCAAAGGCGTTTCCTATTGCTTTCTTGATGCACTGCATGCTGCTGCTGGTTTATGCGAGTGCCACTACTGGCAACAGTCTTCGATGACTCCTTTGCTACTTGCCTTTTTTTGTCCACCGCATCGTTTGTCCTGTTCAAGGATCCCAACATGGATGCGACGGTGGCGCAGCTGCGCCGCGAGAAGGAAGCACTCGAGCGCGAGAACAGAACGCTGAAGACGGAGCTTGCAGCATCGCAGGAAGAGAACAAGACGCTGCAATCACGCGTCCAGGAGTTGCAAGCCCAGGTGTCCAAGTTGGAGCGCGAGCAAGAGGCAGCAGCAACGGCAGCCGTCGCCACCCCGAACACGAGCATGCTTGCGGACGGCATGCAAGCCCTCGGCATCAGCAGCCCCATGTCGCCGCAGCCCACCTCCTCCCAGCCGCGCAAGGGCGATCGCGTCATCAGCCATTGGTAATCGCGTGATAGATATGATACACCCACACATACACAAACACACGCACACAGACACACACACACTCGTTTGCGCACCCAGCAAATGCCAGTTCTTGCTTGATCATTCGTTGTGTCTGACTGATGGCACTCCAGCGCCTCATGCTGCTGATACGGCTGGTGCGCGCACGTCCTCACAAACGTTCACCGTATTTGATTGCTGGCTGCCGTTGCACTCCGCAGGAAGAAGTGGCAGTTCTATCCTGCGCGCATAGCCGAGTTCAACCGCGCGGATCTGACGTTCACCGTTGACTTTGATGACGGCGACCAGACCTCACGCGTTCAGGTGCGGTGGTGTTGCTCCTCTTCCGTGTGATTGTATTGTATGGTGTGTTGCTGTCGCAGCGCGGCGTACGAGCATGCGTGTTTGCTTGGTTGCCCGTGTTGCTTGTACGCGTGCTTGTATGCTGCGTGTGGTTGCTTGTGTGCTTGCTTGTGTGCTTGCTTGCCGGCACAATTCATTGTCTAACCCACACACCACAACGACCACCACGTGTGCTGCAATGTGTTGCCTCTTGAGCAGAAAGTTGAGCTGGTTGCGCTCGATCGCACGCCGGACGCGGACGAAATCGGCGTCGGCTCCGTCGTCCTCTTCCCACAGGTGCTGGGGGATGTGTGTGTGTGTGTGTGTGTGTATGTGCGTGTGTGTGCGTGTACATGTGTGTGCACATGTATGTGTGTACATGTGTGTACAGGTGTGTGTGCGTGTGTGGACACGTGTGCGCCCACGTGCGTGAGCGATCGTACACTTCAACAGCGCACCTCTTTCTCATTCCCCGTCCATCCATCCATCCATCCATCCATCCGTCCATCCACGTGCCAGGGCCGGTACCGCGGGAACGACGCAATCAGCGGCGGTGTCCACTGGCATCTTGGTCGCATCACACGCGTCAGATCGGTTCGTTTCGTCGCAAATGCCCATCATGATGGTGTTGACGCATGGATTTACAAGCGCATGTGCTGTGATGTGTTGATTTGTGTGTGTGTGTGTGTGTGTTGTGTTGTGTTGTGTTGTGTGCTTGTGTGTGTGTGTGTGTGTGTGTGTGTGTGTGCGTTTGTGTGCGTGTGTGTTGTGTGTGCGTATTTCGTGTACATGTGTGTAAGTGGGTGTGCAAACTTGTTGTGCACGCACAAGTTCCCACTTCCAATGTAGACCCTTTTGAACTGATGACAACCAATACGTCCATGTGTGCATGTACATGTGCATCTGTGTGTGTGTATGTGTGCATGTGTGTGTGTGTGATGACAGGAAAACGGCGAGCGCGTGTATGACGGATGCCATCTCAAGGGAGCTGACGACGGCAAATGGATCACGTTCAAAGGTGCGCATGAACCGCAACGCACAAGCAGGAGATTTTGCTGCTGCTGTCACGACTGTTGACGCCGTTGTGGTTGTGTTGAGCTGTGTGCTGTCTGTGGAATGTTCAGTGATGGTATGCTTGTGATTGTGGTTGTCTCACCTTCCCGCGTTTGTTCCGTCACATTCCACCATCCACATCTACCACTACCACCGGCCGCCAAACCCTTCCAATCGCCCCCATCTTCATCTCCCATATCCAGGCTACGCCCCCACATTTGAGGGCCTGCGCCTGAAGGACATGCGTGTGAGCCCAAACGTGTTGAACATGCTTACCAGCGGCATGTCGAGTGCTGCCCAGCAGGCCGCGGGCGCCGTGGACAAGTGCGATGTCTTCATCAGCTACTGTCGTGCAAACTGCCTCGAGGACATTACCGCGGTGTGTGTGTGTGTGTGTGTGTGTGTGTGTGTTGTGTGTGGTGTGTGTGTGTG